TGTTCTGAGTCTGGGTGTTCTTTGTGTCCGTTTCATGTATGTTTGTAAAGTCCCCCGCGACACAGGATTTATTCCTAATGCGGGAGTTGTCTTTTTAAAAAAAGAAAAAAAAAAGAAAAAGTGTTTATTCATCAGCGGCTGGAGTAAACATAAATAAAACAAAAGTTATATAATTTATCCATAAAGGCCTATATTTATTCATTTATTTATATTTGTTGACATTCTCGTTTATGCCCGCATTCCAGTCATTATTCCCAAATGATGTCCGCCTTATATCCTTGCCAAGCTTTCCGCCACATAACAATTACATACTAGAAATATAACTGGACTTGTGATTTCTCAACTTGAAATTAAATAAAATGTTTATCTTAACGTTTTGTCTAAATTAATACTAGATAAATTACATTGCCATGTCATATACAGATAATGATATGAAATTTACAATTAATAGTCCTTTTTTTTAGCATACCTAAGTATGGTAGGACTGATATACCGCGTTCAACACAAAACAATTCACATTTATTTCATACACGATATATATTTTATTCATTATTGGGTTATGACGTAGGCAAGTGTTGTAAAAATGTCTAACTCGATCCAAAAATCACATAATTTCCAGATATATTTCAACACGGTTGTATATACAAGTGAGTTACATATGTTGATTTTTATTTTTGTTTTATACAAAATTGGAGCCCTTCCACGTCTTGTCGAAAATAACATTTGACAGAGCAATTAATTTATTTTAAAAATACAAAAAAAATATGGTAATTAATACAGGGAATGTGGAATTGATAAATATTTAGAGTATGTTTTATTTAAATCCCACTACATATAAACAATATATGTATCATAATTAGATCAGAAGCCTTTTACACACAAATTGATGTTTATTGTATGACCTTGTAAGTAACAGAGCATACTGCCTCCATCTCCACTAATATTCATTTAATATTTATGTGATATTTCGTTCTTTTTATACTTAACTTATCTGCATCTAAAATATAATGTATTGTTGATAAAATATTAAATATTATTAAATCAGGCAACTGACACAAATATAGGGCTTAAATAATTTCTGCTTTGTTTTTGTAGTTTTTTTTAAACTTATGTTGTAATGGTATGGTAGTAAAAAAATACGAAAAATTACCAGATATAAAAAAGTACCGCCTGACACCAATATCGCCGGTAAACTCGTTCTTTTAAGATTCATAACCGACTTCAAAATCAGAAAATTCAAAATTCTGATCTGTTTTGCAACTGGTAAATTAAATCGATTATTTGTAATTCATTTTAAAATGTTGGTCCCATATGTAATTGAAGTCGGTCCGACGAGAAGTATAATAATAAACATACTTATATTTTAAATTAACCGTTATTTATTGAGGGTGGGAATCGAACCCACGACCTTCTGGCTTAACAGTCTGGATCACTAAATATTAGACGATTAAGCCCATCTATGTATTTGTTGTTATTTTCAGTTTACATTTAATGTAAAACGAGATTTAAATGCTCACATTTGCTATAGAGACATTGACAATATTTTAGAATTTTTTATTTATTTATGGCTATGTTCATTCGCCTTAAGAAAATAGTGACGTATCGATAGAGCCCCGCTCACTGCTGGCATAGGCCTACCCCGGTCTAGTGCTGCCACATCGAACGGCTTCCTTTCGGCTTGTATGGTGACAATTCATACTAATATTATAAATGCGAAATTGTGTCTGTCTGTCTTCACGCTTAAACCGCTGAAAGACAAAGCTTTTACGACCGACATTTAGGCTTGCGGAGCCGCAGGGAAAAGCTGGTGTAATATAAATTTATAGGTAAAATTGGTGTCAACATAATTATTTGTACCGCCGTCTTTCGCCTGAGATGATGATTGTTATTATTATTATTATTAAAATAAAAACACGCTTTTAGACATTTCGGTTGATTAAAATGTCGTAATGTAGTGGTAACTCTACTGTCTTATATTTATTAAAGGTATACTGTCTTACCTACATATGTACTTTGTAGAGTCCGGGAGCGTAGCGTCCTGTCGCGACGGTGTAAGCTAACACACTGCAGTGAGTAACACTGTATATCTTTATTAAATACTAGCTGACCCGCGCAACTTCGTCTGCGTCTCTCAATAGTAATAAATTTTATCAGTTTTTGAAACATTCTTCATTGGTGCTCCGCTCCTTTTGCTCTTAGCGTGATGATATATAGCCTATAGCCTTCCTCGATAAATGGGCTATCTAACACTGAAAGAATTTTTCAAATCGGACCAGTAGTTCCTGAGATTAGCGCGTTCAAACAAACAAACAAACAAACAAACTCTTCAGCTTTATAATATTAGTATAGATGTATCTCAGGATGGTTTTTAACTTTTATCTAGGTACATATGAATCACAATTGTTTTTGTTCGTACGTGAGCTCAGATTACAACGTTCAGATGTCAGCAAAAATTGTTCCAATCTGATACCTTAAAATTTTCGTATTGAAGATATTTTTTTGTCATACATACGTGACAATAGCGTCCAAAGGCATAATTGACTATCTACAATGTTTTATCCATTTATAAACAGAATTTCATAAACAACAAGAAATAATCGTGGTTTAAATTAATATAGGGACCTATTAAACAGTACTAGGTCTGCGTTGGACCAATAGGGTAGTTGTATCGGTCAATATTACATTTTAAAGTACAACTTGAGTTCTCCTCCATTATTCATTTAATGTTTTTTATTTGATATCATAAATTATTCGATAATATCAAAGTATGACGTCACAACGCAGTATTTACCGCATACTTTAATAAATAGGTACTGTTTTCTTCTGCAGCCATCTACCCTGATCACAAAATGGCATTATTTTGTACAAACTAATAATACATAAAGGCGACAGGCGTGGTTGGGCTCCCTCAAGACACTGTACAAAAATTTAATTTTCACAATAGACATATTTGTTAAAACAATGGTACAATTAAAATTTCTAACCAGTAATTGCAGTTCAAAAACCGAGCTATCAAATGCGAAAAGAATTTTCTAATTGGACTGGTAGTTTTAGAGTTCGCTTTGAACAGAGAAACAAACTATTTAGTCTTATGACAGTATTGTTTAATTATATCCATGTACCAAAGGTTTTAACAAAAATATCTCTTTTTACATTGTTAAGAATCTCAGAGAGATTCACTAAAAACATAATAATCTGGCAATCACAATATAATCGCATCTTGCGCACAGCTTCCGTTTCATCTAAAGGTTATCCCACATATATGTTTCTTGATCTCAATTTTCCCATTTTTAATCATCAAAGTGCTCTTTTGACATCATGAAAAGTTCGTATTATGTTATAGATATTCAAACTGTAGTCAGTACAATGAATGAGGTTAAAACTTCACTGCCTACCCAATCGAGGTTACAGGCGTGAATGTATAGAATTCTCAAAATATATAATAATTAGATGTCATCATCGACCAGTATAACTTGACCTATCTTTGTATGGACTTTGTACTATGACAGGTCAAATCGTATACTGGACCCGTATAGTTTTAAGTTGAAGTTTTAACGTACTTTTTAACTTTATAACACGTGTTGTTCAATTTTTTTTGTGCACTTCTACATATAAACATTTATCATCATCAACAGCCTTTAGCAGTCAAAATTCTTCTGCTGGACATAGGCCTCTCCTTAGACAAGAGGTAACTGTCCTACTATACCACTCTAGCCAGACGGGTTGGTAGAGGGTTTGTTTTAAGTTTTCCCTATCTGTGCAGTGCTGTTGTCCTACGTAGTTAGCTCTCTTAGTCGGCTCGTACGAACACACATGGGATCAATAGGGGTGGTGGCACTCCGTATTCTTAAACCACCACACAGATAATATAAACATTAGATATTCCAAATGTGATATGCTACCGAGCGACGTATTTGTTTAAAACGGGGAACATAGAATTTTCTTTACATATACATATTATTATAAACATTCTTCAGGCTCCGGTAACCTCAGTTGAAAAAAAGGTCTCACTCCGGTCAAGTAGGAAAATTTGATCCAAAACATGGGTCTCTCGCTGTATCACAGTGGGATCAACCATAGCTGATAGAGAGTGGTTGTTGGGGCTACAGACTGAGCTAGTATGTATTTTTCTTTTATATAAAAAGTTCAAAGTGTATCCTATTAATAATTTTGCGCACTGCGCTTGTTTTCATAAGTCTGTCTATCTGATTCCCCAGCGGGTGATATAAAAGCCCGTATCTAAACGAATCAAACTATTTTTATACCTTAAAAGTGGCAAATAATAAGTAGGTTGCATGGGTGTAACCAACATTGAGTATTTGTGTTGAAGATCCTGATATATTTCTTTGTCTTTTTAACAGATTTGGTACATTTTTGGGTATTTTTTGTTTTACTGATTCCCTAATCATGCATTTTAGACTATTGGTCGTTCGTATTTCATGCTTTTTTGACCCCATCCCGTCCTTGTCACAGCTAGTTACATTTGTAAGAATCCGCCCTCCCTAGTGTGACGTCAAATATTATAAAATTTTACATCTAGAATTATTAAACTAATTTTTGTTTAATAAAATCAACATCAAATAAAACATTTGAAAAAATTAATTAGATATAAAAAATGTGCCGTCACGAAACCTAGGACCTCTCCCACCTTCTGTCATCGTAGGAATACTCGTCAACAATTTTGTTCTGTCCAATAATGTTTCTTCTGTCTTCTCTTATTTCAATATTTGCTGTATTGCAATATAATATTATAAATACATAAGGGAGGTTGCCAATTTTGTTTTTACTCCTTAACTATTCAACTGAAAATGTGTTGAGTGTTTCTCTGAAGATGGAAAAAATACTTTTACACCAAGCAAAGCCTGGGGCAACAGTTAGTCAATAATACAAACATGTGGGATAACCTCTCGAGAGCTGGAGCTGTATATGTGTGGCTGCGGTTCGCTAGTCAGCTAGCTAGTCGGCTAGTGTTGGTTCGGGGGGTGATGGTGGGGAGCGGGTCAGTGCGGTTGGGGCGGAGTCTTGGCCTGGTCGGGAGGGGGCGGCGCGGGCCAGTCGCCCGCCTCGCCCTCGTACTGAGTGTTCTCGAGCCGCGTGATCAGCCTCTCGTCCTCGTCGCCGAATTCCCCGCCCATCAGGGACGGCTCGCCAACCACCATGACGTCCTGTAATAAAAGAAATTACAATTAAAAAGAGAACTTGGACTTATGTCAGTTGAAGTTTCAGATATGGGACTCAAACGAGTAAAAGAGTCACCTGAGTCCCCCCCTAAATGACTCCTGCCGCCCATAGATACACAACTGCGTTACCGCACTTTGAGTCCCCCCCCCAGACACAGTCTCCCACCAAAGTCTATATTAAATTTGAAAAAAATATGCTTCTTTATACCTTAGACAGAAGCCTATACATGCTAAAAATAGTAAAAAAATTGTTTACTTTCAAATATTGATTGCATTCATGGTCATTTGCATTTTTTTTATTCATTCATCAACCTTTACTAGTCCACTGCTGGACATAGGCCTCTCCTTAGATAGGAGGTTTTGGCCTACTATACCACGTTACCCAGACGGGTTGGTATAGGGTTTGTTTCAAGTTTTCCTTCTCTCTACAGTGCTGTTGTCCTGCATAGTTTGTTCCCTTAGTCGGCTCTTACAACACCCACGGGATGAATTGGGGTGGTGACATTCTGTATTCTTAATCCGTCACCACACGGATGCTTACTGATTAATACTTAATAAATACTCTACCATAGCCATGTACTTATATGAAAACTTTATTGTAGAGTGCGACGGAGAGGCCACACAAAAGCCTAGTATTATTCCTGATACAAAATTGTTCCTAGAAGCCTGCAAACCAACCTAGGGGGCTCTCGTGGTTCTGTAAAGAATTCGGTTGGCTCACGTCGTTAACCTTACCTATATGTATAAAGGTCAATTTTTGAGTGTAAAGCGAGGACTGGGGCCCTGTTCCGATACCAATTGTAATAAGCTCACTGCACTATTATTACCCTTTAAAATAATCTGATAACTCGACAGGAACTGTGTGAGTCGGTTAGGAGTCGTCATAGAATATTAGTATAGTGAACAAGTGTTCTGATCTTGCAATATAGGCAAGGAGAGAGATAGATGTGAGGTTGGTACCTGCGAGGCGAGGCTGAAGTTGGGTCCGGGCGAGCGCTTCTTGGCGGGCGCGGGCGGCGCGGCGTTGGGCCCGCCGCTGCCCTTGCGCTTGCGCCGCTTGCTCGCCGGCCGGTTCGTCTCTGCAACACCACCCGCTACTTCACGAACACGCACATACTGGATACTTTATATCATTTTATTTAGTTCAAAACTGACTTCTACGAGTTTCAATTTTACTAAGCTGTATTTTTCATCCCTTAATTTTCCACCCTTAGAAGGGGAATTTTTACTTTAAATTAAATAAACTGTACGTACAAACTATTCAATTATCTAAATCGGTTCAAAAATAACGAATTTTTCATGTAACAATTTTTTTTTTTATGGACATACTGGTCACCTCGTGGCAAGTAACTACCGCCGCCCATAAACAGTAGATAGTCAACCTTTAGGGAACACACGTTTAGTATTTTAAATAGACCACACCTAAACTACCAATACTTTATTTATTTATTCTTGTAACACTTTTTTTACATTAAAAAATAAATTTCTACGGTAGACTCAACACACAAGCTTGAAAAGTTACCGTTCTCTCCTAAACCAAGAATTTAAAAAAATACCTACGTCCATTATAACAGCCTTATGGTAATATTTATTAGAGACTAGATAAAATAGAAGCAGTGTGTTGTATACCTGGTGGCGCCACCATCCTCTGCCACTTCTGGAACAGCGTGGTCTTGAGGCAGTCGCGGGGGGAGAGCGCGTACGCCTTGTGACGCGACATCAGCTCCTGCATCGGCTCCAGGATCACGCATAACTGTTCACATAAATCACAAATTATATTCATATTTAATGAGTTGAGTCCGTGTGGGTGATTAAGAATACGGATTGTCACCACCCCTATTCATCCCGTGGGTGTCGTAAGAACCGACTAAGTGAGCAACACAGCAAAGAGAAGGAAAACTTGACACAAACCCTATACCAACCCATCTGGCCAGCGTGGTATAGTAGGCCAAAACCTCCATTCTATGGAGAGGCTTATGTCCAGCAGTGGACTAATAAAGGCTGTTGATGATGATGATGATACATGAATGATAATACAATCGAACTTGAGTTAGAGCGGTTCCTGGCTAAGTGGTAAAAGAGTATAGTATCACATTGCAAAGTTAAGCAATCCCAGCCAGGTCAGTCTATGGACGGGTGACCGTTCTTAACACATTAGGACCCCTCCGTGCGTCGGAGAACGATAAGCCGTCGATCCTGGTTACCATACCAACATCTGTGGCAATCATTACGGGTACTTGGAGCCCTAAAAAAGTTCGACAACAGTATCTATAGAACTTCGATATCGCCTAGTACTTGGGTTGTGAGTCCGTGTGGTGACGGATTAAGAATACTAATTGTCACCACCCCTATTCATCCCGTGGGTGTCGTAAGAGCCGACTAAGGGAGCAAACTAAGCAGGACAACAGCACTGCAAAGAGAAGGAAAGCTTGCAACAAACCCTATATCAACCCGTCTGGCCAGCGTGGTATAGTAGGCCAAAACCTCCTTCCTAAGGAGAGGCCTATGTCCAGCAGTGGACTAGTATAGACTGTTGATGATGATGACTTGGGTTGTGGAGGTCTGAAAGCGGTCGCTTTAATGTTAGAGGGGGCAGACGAGCAGACGGGTCACGTGATGGAAAGTGACTATCGCCGCCCATGAACGTCTGCAACTCAGGAGTCACAAACGCGTTGCTGGCCTTTTAGGAAGGAGTACGCTCTTTTCTTGAAGGTTTGAAGGTCGTATCGGTCCAGAATTACCGCAGACGATAAAGATAATTTTACGCTCCATGTAAAACATCAAAGTTCTTATCGTGGTAGACTGTAAGGCAACGCCAACCTTATTTGGGAGGAAGACTGGGAGGGTGATGATATTGTAGTGTGATTTTAAAGTTTGAGTGAGAGTCAGACTTGACAGTCTGTTTGAATTATTGGTAACATTCTCAGATCCAGCCGTATAAGCAATGTTATTTTGCTAACATTGTCTTTTCTTTTCAGCTAATATCTAAAGTGCCTGTGTGACACAATGGGCTTGCCGCTGCTTACATAATCATCGTCATCATTAACAGCCTTAAATTGTCCACTGCTGGACATAAGCCTCTCCTAAGAAAGGATGGTTTGGCCTACTATACCACGTTGGCCAGACGGGTTGGTATAGGGTTTGTGTCAAGTTTTCCTTCTCTTTGCAGTGCTGTTGTCCTGCGTAGTTAGTTCCTTTAGTCGGCTCTTACGACGCCTACGGGATGGATAGGGGTAGTGACATTGTACCAGGGACTTCCTTTCTAGGGTATACCTGGTTCCCCGGCTATTAGTACCCGAGACGGCGCGCGGTTTTAGTCGGTTCGAGTCCGACATGCCACTGACAGGTGGTATCCGAGGGGATTTCCGCACGGAAAAAAAAAAAAAGGGGTAGTGACATTCCGTATTGTTAATCCGTCATAACAGATAGTGTGTTACATAAGTGACATGATTTTTTAGTAAAAATGATCATTTGATCTCTGCCTACCATTTCGGGGATATAGACTATAGGTTCAGAAACACGTGGTAACGTCATCCTCTCGTGCAAGGTGTAGAGGAACATACCCTGAGATAGTTGAGCGTGGAGTTGGTGATGCCCTGGCGCGTGATGTTCTTGGCGAGCTGGTCGAGCGCGGCGTGGTCGGGCGGGTGCACGGCCTGGCGCGGGATGAGCTCGCGGTGCGCGCGCACGGCGAGGTGCCACGACTTGATGCGCATCAGGTCGTCGAACGTGAACTCCAGGATCAGCCGCCCTTCCGTGCACACCTGGAACGTACACATACATACATATTTATAAGTTTTTAAAAATCGTCTGTGGTAACCACTTAAACCACTTGGTGGACCATGTTTGTTAGCCATTTACGGGGTATAACAATAATATTTGACAAAGCAGTGTCAAATAATAAAATACATTTCAGCGCCACCTAGCGAAGACTAACTGCACTTTTAAGTAATCTAATGATCCTGTACCGCGCAATCAAAATTGTAGTAGACCTGAAGAATATTATTATCTGTAATGTCACATCTTTACCTAACACACACATCGATACCTAAGTAATGAAATCTTTTTATTTTTTGAACAAAGTATTACGCATTTTGAAATGTAAATTGCAAGAGGATCCATGCGAGTTTGCTATAGTGGTTGTTGACCCTGACTGCTAAACCGGAAGTCGTGGATTCGATTCCCACCCAGACCAAATATTTGTGTGATGAGCACGACCGTTTGTTCTGTGTTTGGGTGTAATTTTTCTATAATTTGTATGTATTTAGAAATATATGAGTATGTTTATCAGCAGTCAGGTTACAGCACAGGCTCTGCCTAGTTTGGGATCAAACAGCCGTGTGTGAGATGTGTGCGATTATTATTATTATTAATATAGTTAACCAGAGCTAAAATACTTATTAAATACTAACTTTTACACTTTACTTCACTCGTGGTAATCACTCAGTTAATCCACAATCAAAAGTAAAATATAATATTGGTAAGATATGATTACCTTAGTAAACATAGGTTTCCCATGGTGCGTCACCATGGTACAATGGTCGCAGTCGAGGGTGATGCTTGTGTTGTGGAATGATTCCTTGGGCTGTCGCATAGTGTAATACAGTTCTGACACACCACCCTCATATATACTGCGAAAGTAACGAGGTATCAGCGTCCTTCCTATTGCTGGAAATCAAAATTAAATATATATTAAATATTGGAAATAAGTACGCTAGAAATGGTCGGTTGATGGCGGAAAGCCCCCTAACATGCAAATGGGAATAAAATCATAAAGTTATGGCAAAATCATCATCATCATCATCATCAACAGCCTATACTAGTCCACTGCTGGACATAGGCCTCTCCTTAGAAAGGAGGTTTTGGCCTACTAAAAATTTGGCAAAATATCGGCAGTTAATACGCCTTTGACTACACTCGGTGAGAAGTAGGGATGTAATAAATTACAATCATGTGTCATAAATCATATGATTTGCATCACATCTGAGACCAATCTACAAAAACACTGTGACTTATGATAATGATTACGCTATCGCCAAACTCGCGTAAAGTCAAGTTGATTAAAAAAAATATTTTTCTTTTCTTTGCTTTTAATGACAATTATCTTTGTCTTTGACCTAATAACATTAGTGATTTATCACAGGTGAAATCGCAGTACCTAAAACCAAACTATTCATTATTCTATTTATCATCACTAGTGAAAAGCAACGGACAAATAGCTTAATAGCAGTTTTCTGTGATGCCGTGGTGGTTTTCAGTCGAGCCGGCCCATTAGTGGCGAAGCATGTAGATACTCCGGGATGTAAAACACCCTAGGTCCTTAGCTGTACCCTTGAGTGTGCCAAATTCAATAGCGAACGGTTCAGAAATTGGCGTAACATCATTGGGAGAGGCAGAATGTTTTAAGAATTGTTCACGTTTTATGGCACTTGGTGTGATATGCCATTCTGCGCCTTTTGAATTTCTTTTACGACCTCTGCAGCATTCTAGATCAGAAATCAGAAGGTAGAACGCAACCATAGTTAAGTGGACTGAAGATTTAAAGAAGTGGTGTATTATAGCGCACACAGGAAAAGACCAACGTTCAGCGGTGGACTGCAATAAGCTAAGGATTGATTAAGTTTGTTGATTAGGAATCGAACCCGCAACCATTCGATCGCATGTCACAGAATATTTAGTCATACCAATATTATAAATCTGAAGAGTTTATTTGTTTGGTTGAAAGCGCTATCAGGAACTACTGGTTCGAACTTAAAAAAATATTTCAGAGTTGGATAGTCCATTCATCCAGGAAGGCTATAGACTATATAACATTACGATACGACCAAAAGGAGATGAGCAGCAATTAAAAATGTTGCAAAAACAATATATATTAGTTTTGAGATACGTAGATAAAGAGGCGTGGGTCGACTAGCCAAGAATAAGCCATATATCTAATACCTATATAAAATTCTCGTGTCACGGTGTTAGAAGTTGAACTCCTCCGAAACGACTCAACCGATTTTCGTGAAATTTTGTGTGCATATCGGGTAGGTCTGAGAATCGGCCAACATCTATTTTTCATAACCGTTTTTTTTTTGACAATTAAAAAAAAAATGTATATGGCAAAACAACGTTTGCCGGGTCAGCTAGTTTTAAATTATAACAAGACACTTACTATATCTTTTAGGTCCATCTTCTAAACAAAATGTAAGTGTGAGCGTCGCATCATCTTCAAAGAATTCTGTCGCGAACGCATCCCACCATAGGTTGTCAGAGTCCTGGAACATTAAAATCGTACATTGAAACCATCATTTGAGCCGTAGACCAGAGCCTCAATTCTGCTATTTTAATATTGTATCAATAGACTGTCGATGGAATGTCGTCTCAATTGTTTTGCACTTTTCCTATTCTACTAACTATGTAAGACCAATGGCCTCACGATGACTTATCACTGATACAAATGTCTTCGATGTCTTTGTAACAGTTTGGTAAACGGTACATTTTAAATTTGTAAAAAAATGATATATTTAATTTGTTTTTGATATCAACATTGATGACCTATATTACTATATCGACAGTCTATTGACACTGTGAATTTATGTTAGTAGAATACTGATATTTTGACCGATGTCCATGGCATCTCAACATCGTGCCAATGGAATGACAGTGGCTTGGCGTGAGCGTAAAATAGCAGAATTGAGGCCCAGCTCGGTGCAAACAAGGATGCGATTCGCCTAATTGCGATTTCCGTAACTCTGGGGCGGATTCGCATGCGCGTTGACGGCTTTCAAAAACCTTTCTTGGTAAAAGGTTTTGAAGAACCCCATACTGAATGTGGACTGTTATGGTGCATTCAATATCTTATATTACTTAGCTCGACTTAAATACTCTATTTCTGGATCAAATAATAACAAAATAAATATATATATAATTATATGACACAATATACCTATAGTTCACAGGTACGCAGTAGGGATTGTTGTATAGTTATTTTAAGTTACAATTTTCAATATAATAATAATATCTATTAAGGTGCCTAATTGTTTAACAGACACTGGTCATCATCATCACATCACATCAACAGCCTTTAACAGTCCACTTCTGGACATAAGCCTCTCCTTAGAAAGGAGGTTTTGGCCTACTATACCACGCTGGCCAGACGAGTTGGTATAGGCTTTGTTTCAAATTCTCCTTCTCTTTGCAGTGCTGTTGTCTTGCGTATTTTGCTCCGTTAGTCGGCTCTTGCGTCACCCACGAGATGAATAGGGGTGGTGACACTCCGTATTCTTAATCCGTCATCACACGGAAATCATCACCTCCGGCAAAATACTTCATTCCCATATGCAGGGATGTTAATTATTCAAAGACCCTAGTGTAAGTTGATTTCACTTCTACCCGACCGTCGTGGTGCCCGGTTGGCCCACCACTGTAACTCCTGTACACCAGGATCCACAGCAGTGACCCACGAACACACGGAGTTATGACACTCGGGAAGTCCCAGGAAGAAATTAAACTGTCTTGGAACCCGCAACGAAATTAATCAGAAGAAAATTGGAGGAGTTGTGACTAGTGAAGATTTCAAAGGCCCTAGTGTAAGTTTATTTCACTTTCACTCGATCGTCGGTGTTGCGATTGGTGAAGATATTAGTTCAGCCCAATCAAAACAAATTACTTGTCACGCTAGGGCCTCAGTGCTTCTCTAGGTTTTTCGAATAACTTAAAAACTTAAATTCGACTTTTTTTTAAAGACAACTCTCGCATTAGGAATATATCCTGTGTCGCGGGGGACTTTACAAACATACATAAAACGGACACAAAGAACACCCAGACTCAGAACAACAATTTGTGGATCACACAAAGTGTCGTCCCATGTGGGGTTTGAACCCACAACACTCGACGTAGTAGGAAGCGGCGTGGCGATCGCTTAAACCACTACGCCATCCGTGCAGTTATGTTTTCCTTACTTAAATCTATTGCATCTCGGCACAACCCTTAGGTAGACTTGGCTTGACTTGTATGACCAAGGAGTTGTTTTATTGATTTTTGATCAAATTCTATCCTGATTACGATAAGAATCTAAATCAAGAAGAGTAATAATAGGTCTTTACCTATGAAATTGCCGTTTTGTATGCAATAAGTGAAAGTACTTATTTTTTCAAACTTTTTTATTTCTGTTATTGTTGCACCTACCGACTATTACTTTTTCCAAAATGTAGACAACTTTTTAGTGAGTAAAAAATTCAATTCCCGAGAGGCAGTACAAAATGCCTTTGAAGAGTTTGTTGCCTCCCGTCCAGCTGATTTTTACAAGAAGGGCATCAATAAACTGCCAATGCATTGGCAAAGATGCGTCGATTGCATGGGTGATTACTTCGAATAACAGAAATAAAAAAGTTTGAAAAAATAAGTACTTTCACTTATTGCATACAAAACGGCAATTTCATAGGTAAAGACCTATTATTTATTCAAACTCATATATTCACGTTTTTTATCCACGAAGGGGTAAACAGAACCGTAATTAAACACCCTTCTTGTTGATTATAATTTTACTCTCACTCGTATAATTAGCGGTAGATACTTGTATCAGGGATTTCCTTCCTAGGGTACACCTGGTTCCCCGGCAACTGTTACCAGAGACAGCGCGCGGTTTATGGTCGGTTCGAGTCCGACATAACCCCCGGTGGGTGGTGTCCGAGGGGATTTCCGCACAGAAAAAAATAGGGGTACATACTTATCTTTACAAATAAAAAAAGGTTTTATATACTCAGACGGTTATTTGCACGATACCTATGCCTAAAAATATATATATATTTTTTTTTTTTTGTTTTTTTTTTTATATATTTTTTGTCGATTTTGATAATATTTTACTACCAGGTTAGTTAGGTCTATACCTATAGGGAGTAATTTAGACTAGTTTTCTTCTCAGAAAAACCCTATAGAATTTTGTCAGGTCCGGGAATCGATCCCGAGGCCTCATCGACTGCAGTCGCGTACCGTACTACACCACTAAGGCAGCGATTTTCAAATTCCACGTGTACAAAGTCATGGGTACCAACTAGAACATAATTTATTTCAAAATGCATATATTATAGGTAAACTAAAACCATACACAGAACAAAACTAATCTTGCATATCACAATATTTTTGCCTTGGGTAGAAATCGAACCTACACCCTCAAACTTAACAGTCAGCATTGGTAACCACTATACCAAACCGGCTCTTCCGTGCTATCAAACAAACTAACCTCTCGAATTTACGATTATGTATAGTGCATAGTAATCGTCAATAGATGGCGTTATACTCTATAAGCAACACTCGCAAGAGTATATTGATAACAAATCTGTGTTCGTTCAATACGATTGTTAGCTGATATGCATGACTGGTGCCGCTGACGAGGAATCGCCATAAATGCATATCAACGTTGTTTTATTACCCTATTACTGTAAAATAATCAAGAAATTATTAGGTCAAGGTTGTAGGGAAGATTGCCGAGTCCGGTGTGACGTACTTGTTTTTTTTTTTTTACGGTAAAGGAGCAGATGCGTCACCGGAGGGCCTGAGGGCTTAGTGTAGGTTTATTTCACTTCTACTCGCTCTCGACAAAGAGCACGTTCGGCGTAGCGATTGGTGAAGATTACAGCGCGGCCCAATCACAGCGCCAAACGCGGACACAGTGATCGAGTAGAAGTGACATAAGTCCCTAGTGGCCCTATCCGTGTGGTGACGGATTAAGAATACAGAGTGTCACCACCCCTATTCATCCCGTGGGTGTCGTAAGAGCCGACTAAGGGAAAAAACTACGCAGAACAACAGCACTGCAGAGAGAAGGAAAACTTGACACAAACCCTATACCAACCCGTCTGGCCAGCGTGGTATAGTAGGCCAAAACCTCCTTTCTAAGGAGAGGCCTATGTCCAGCAGTGGACTATTAAAGGCTGTTGATGATGAAGCCTTCTGGTGTAAGTTTATTTCACTTCTACGATCGTCACGGTGACTGCTTTGTGCGTTGTGATTGGCCCGAACTAAACTCTTCACCTCTGAGGGCCTCATCAACAGGCTTTACTAGTCCACTCTGCTCGTCTGATGTGTTACCCCCTTTACCTAACCTATTTGAAAGGAGCCTAGCAATGCCGCTTTGGATATTCGTTCAAAGAAAGAGGTTACTGAAGCTCTTGGCAATCCAAGGTCTTTAAGCAGGCTATAGAGGGATTTAGCTGGTATACCCCTCGCACTCTCTTCCACGGCATACAACGCAACGACATAACCATTTTTAGTTATTTCGTTGGTTAAGTCAAAGTACTTGTTTCTTTTTAAGTTCGGTCTTCAGGGATGTTCGCTTCCCACGGCACCGTGAGTTCTACTAGTACTACACGCTTAATGGAAATTGCATAAAGGAATATGTCTGGTCTGGACACCGAGGCACAGATATCCTCCAGTATTCTGTAATGATTTTCATACGTGTCCACTAATAATGTCCAGTCAGTGGCGGTATTTATAATTGAGTACGGCTTTTGTTGAGCCTTCCTTTACAAACACGAGGTTAGTTCTTATGTTTATTGTTATTCCTTTTTTCGCTCTCGCCAGCGATAAACTTATAACTTCGCGTATGATTTGTTTATTGTACTAGCTGACCCGCGCAACTTCGTCTGCGTCTCTCCAATAGTAATAAACTTTCTCCGTTTTTGAAACATTCTTCATTGGTGCTCCGCTCGTATTGGTCTTAGCGTGATGATATATAGCCTATAGCGTTCCTCGATAAATGGGCTATCTAACACTGAAAGATTTTTTTAAATCGGACCAATAGTTCCTGAGATTAGCGCGTTCAAACAAACAAACAAACTCTTCAGCTTTATAATATTAGTATTGATATTCGTGACCCCCGGTCTAATAGCGCCTTACAACCCGTCAGTAAGTCCCTGGCTGTACATATTTCCGCACTGCACATCGTAGAAACCTTTTCTGTAACTTTTCCCACCTTACTGGGTTGCTGTGAGAGTCAATTAAAAGACGTTGAGGTAAAATTTTAACAGGGCAGGTATAAAAGTGTGCGCCATTTCAAAGCTGGGGGGTTACAAAATTCTCCTAGGGTTAACCATTCATTCTGCATTTGTAGGTACATTGCGTGCACCTTGTAGGTATCGTTTTCATCTTTTTGTAGGTAAGATTTTGTTATCTCTTTGTCGGTCAGACAGACCATCTAGCATTTCCCAATCCAACTCTACTGGACTGCGTACCCACGATGCATTTCTTGTGGAATTGTCTTTTGGAAGGGATCTAACGATCTTCTGATTTTGACAAGACATGCCTGTTGGTGACTCTTAGGTGTTTGTAGAGTTCCGCAGGTCTTTTTAATTTCATTCCAACATTATTCGAGTCTGGATCTGCAGATGTTGCTAGCCCGAGCCACAACTTCAATGACTTAGTGATTTTCGAGTCCAGTTTTTTATAGTGGTTCTGGTTTATATCGTATACCAGAAAAGGCCAGTTGAGACGTGATGTTAAGTAGTTGTCGTAAGTCCAAGCTGTTTTTACGTTACTTATTGGCTGTAGGTCTTCCTTGTCACGTTTTATGTTAACGAAGTTATCGACTATAGCGTTCATAGATGGAGTGCAATCTTTGTGGTCTATCTTTCTTCCAAGGAATTTTTAATGGCACGGTTTCTGATATTATTGAAACACTTTCCCCACCGACAGTAATCCCGGGGTCATATGAGGTATATCTGGTGCCTCGCCGGCCCAGACTAAGGCAACAGCATTTGTTAGGTTTTGTCCTCATTCCTTCCGTCCAGGTACAGAAGTCATTCACCTTACGCAGTAGTTCTTGGCACTGCTTCGGGTTACCTGTGAGGATCGCGAGGTCATCTGCGAATTCTAAGATGCATTCCGTATATTTTCCATTGACCTTAAACCGGTAGCACCAACCTCTTTTCGAGTGCTGCGTTATTATCTATTAATATATTTATAACTGTATTAAAAACGAATGGTTATAAGCAGCAACCTTGGAACAACCCTACTCTGTATTCGAGGAGTTTGTATGATATAATATAATATATAATATAATAATATAATATATTCTACCACATACACACAACGCCATCTAGTCCCAAACTAAGCAGAGCTTGTACTATGGGTACTAGACAACTGATATAAATACATATATACTTTTTTTTTTGTAAATACATACATATTATACATAGAAACACCCAGACCAAATCAAACATCAAATGTTCATGCACACAAATGTTTGACTTGAGCGGGAATCGAACCCGCGACCTTTGGAATAGCAGTCCGTTACACAAACCACTACGCCATCCAGTCGTCATAGCCCTCTTTTGCTGTGACCTCTTTTATAATTTACTTAGTGTGTAATTTAGAAAGTAAATAAAATTAACCTAAATTCTCACGTTAACAAGATTAAGTCCAATGGCATATATTTGACGAGTTTGTTGGTCTAGTGGTCAACGGACCTGACTGCTAATTCGATTCCCACCCAAGACTAATTTTGTGTGATGTATCTGAGTGAAATTTATTTATAGTATGTATGTATGTATTTAGAAATATATAAGTATGTTTATCAGCAGTTTGGTTACCATAGTACAGGCTCTGCCTAGTTTGGGATCATAATCAAAATTACGATCACTGCGAACTCCAGGTTTCAATTATGTTTGACATGATACTGAATAAAAATATTAAGGAAGTATATTAAAGTAATTGTAAAGTAAAATTGACTGCACGCATGGTGTAGACGGTTAAGCGGTCACCTCGCCGCTTCCTACTGCACTGAGTATTGTGGGTTCGATTCCCACATGGGACAACACTTAGTGCGCTCCACAAATTATTGTTGTGTTCTTTGTGTCCGTTTTATATATATATTTTGACTGCACGGATGGCGTAGTGGTTTAAGCGGTCGCCACGCAGCTTTTTATTACGCCGAGTGTTGTGAGTTCAAACCCCACATGGGACAACACCTTGTGTGACCCACAAATTGTTGTTCTGAGTCTGGGTGTACTTTGTGTCCGTTTCATGTATGTTTGTAAAGTCCCCCGCGGCTCAGGATATATACCTAATACGGGACTACACAAAAACAGTAAAAAATACATAAAATAAAGGATATTAGTTCTAAAAACTAGCATTACGTAAAATTTCGTCTATTTTTATAAAAAAAATCTTCAAAGTTCAGTATCTTGTTTGGGATATGGTATTTCATAGTGAAATCTATTAGAAATGACGGCGATTACAACCTCTTAAAGTATTTAGGTCGACTGTAAAGTCCTGTAAAGTCCCCCGCGGCACATCTCTATATATATAAAAATGAATTGCTGTTCGTTAGTCTCGCTAAAACTCGAGAACGGCTGGACCGATTTGGCTAATTTTGGTCTTGAATTATTTGTGGAAGTCCAGAGAAGGTTTAAAAGGTGAATAAATATGAAAATTTGCATTTTTTAACTGTTTTCATAAAAAAAGGATTCCTTTTGTTTGTTTATTTTATACAAAAGTTTAAGTCTTTTATTTATCAATTGAGGCAGTACGAAGTCTGCCGGGTCAGCTAGTGCTATATATATATCTAATGCAGGAGTGGTCTTAAAAAACATTATATATTAAATGTGGCTCACCTCTGTCCTCTGTTGTAACCGTTTATTTAGTTCATAAACTCTGTAGTCTGGCTGGCCGAAGTACGGCGCGTGCCGCCTGGAATAAGCAGAAAAGGAAAAATTAATTATGTTTGTCAAATCTATGTATTAATTCGGCAATAGGCTTGCCTTGAAAAAATGGGGCTGAAGTTATGATTAGCAAGATATGGTCTTTTTGTGGCGTGACGGATGAATGCAATTGTGACTATCTCTCCCCGGCCATTGACAACCAGGATGGTTTTTAGCCGGTAAGAATCCGACAGACCTTCCCCTCCCCTCCTAAGGGCTCTGTCTACCCCTTTGAGGATATAAACTTGAGTGTCTGTGATACGTGTAGAAAATTCTTTGTACCCCATCTATGTTTACAAATAAATAAAATTGAAGTGTCTGTATGTAATGTCAAAATAATGAGTTTATTTCATGCTCACACGGTTATTTGCAAGATAACTATGCCTAAAAACCAGTTTAAATATTTTTGTCTGTCTGTTTGTGTCGGGTAATCTGCAAAACATCTAGACCGATTTTGATAATATTTTACTACCAGGTAGCGGTCTATGTAAGGAGTAACGCGAACGAACGCGAGGCCTCAATGACGGCAGTTGCGTACCGTACCACACCGCTAAAGCAGCGCTTTTCAAATTCCACCACCAGCTAGTCTTCAATACAAATAAATAAAATTGGAGTGTCTGTTTGTAATATTAAAATAACCGCTTTTTACTAAATGCATATGTATGTTTACACGGTACATATGCCAAAATAACATTTTTTTAATTTTTGTCTGTCTGTCTGTTCCGGGTAATCTCTGGAACGGCTAGACCGATTTCGACGGGACTTCAAGTGGCAGATAGCTGAACATAAGGAGTAACTTAGGCTACTTTTTTTAGACTAGCTTCGCTCCGCGGCGTTGCCCGCGGTTATAACAACAAACGCGGGTAACACCGCGGGTCTCAGCTAATTTTAAATAATTATGTACTTTATGTTTATGCTTGTATGTGCACAAAGCTATTTTGCATTTAATTTTTCTAAATTAAAAACGTTCACATTAAACCATAATTGTCCAGTAATTATGTTGATCTGTCATAGTAAAAAGTGTATACAGTGACAGCTCAAGATACACTGCTCCTTGAGACAAAGCAAAACTTTCAAAGTGGTCGAAATTCCTATACCAAGCGATATCTCGATGTGTAAATACATGCATAAAAAACATCCAAACTCCGAAACAAACATTTGCAGATCATACAAACATTTGGTCCAACTCAGAAATTGAAGTACTGTTGAAAAAAATGAGCTTCGAGTCGGAAGCTCGAACCTCCAGTCGAAGCTACTGAACTTTTAAAGCTCGATTTCTAAATTCTCGAGAGCCTTTAGAGTTCGAGTCTTAAAGGCTCAAAATCCCTAAAGAGTTCGTTTATTAAGCAATCTTCTGATTGGCGTTTCCCAGAATTTTTACGAACTATAATTTAATTAGGTTATTATTATGGTTTTATTTTTATGATAAAATATTAATATTGCAATTTAGTATGTTTTTATTGCAAGTTTACATAATAATTGATTATACAGGAAACCTAACACATTGATTCAGTGCTATTAATATCTTTGAGACTACCCACATTTGCTATTAATATAACTACGAGAGTTATTTGTAACATAACATTCCATTCGTAATAAAAATATAAAGTTTTCAGTACAATGTTTCTACTTTAAATTATATTATTAAATGTATTCATTCGTAGTTTATCAGTGGGTGATTAATAAAGTTTTTTTTTTCAGTCCAAAAAAAACTGCGGTATAACCCGGACCGATACGACCTTTAAACCTTCAAGAAAAGAGCGTACACCTTCCTTAAAGAACGAGCGTAACGAGACGTCCAACGAAAACAAGCTAGAAAGGCCAAATACAACCATTCAGGATTTAAGAGAGCGTCAAGAAACCTCTAACGAGAATCTGAATACTCTTCTCCCTAATCGTTCCCTCACTGCTGAGGATCGTGACTCCCTTTCATCCTGTCAACTATATGTTTCCATCAGGTTTTTTTTTTCATTTTTTTGTTTTTAAAATGGGTAACGAAAATAAACGACAACCAATCTGTGGAACAAGTTATCGGCTGCGCTATTTCCGGACCGATACGACCTTCAAAACATCAGGAAAAGAGCGTACTCCTTCCTCAAAGGCTGGCAACGCGCTTGTGACTCCTGAGCTGCAGGCGTTCACGGGCGGCGTTAGTCGCTTTCCATCAGGTGACCCGTCTGCTCGTTTGCTAGGGGGCAATGGTGTCAATTCACAATAGTGAACAATAAATTGTAATGTAAAAAATACATACGTATATGAGCCCTAAACGGCCGAGCTCGAGTTTCGAGTTCAACTCGGCTCGAGTAGCGAATCGATCCTTGTGTAAATCCTCGAGCTTTGTATAATACTGCTAATAAGACTCGAGCCTTCAATGAGTTTGACTTAGGAGCTCGAGCTATCTAACAACACTAAATTGAACCCGAGAACTCAGCACAGTGGTCGCATACGCTACCACTGCATCACCGAGGCAGTCAAATAAGTATTAATCTTTTACGAGGCACTTATAAATTTAATTGTCCGCGTGGTGACGGATTACGGAGTCTCACCACCCCTATTCATCCCGTGGGTGTCGTAAGAGCCGTCTAAGGGAGTAAACTAAGCAGGACTGCAAAGAGAAGAAAAACTTGAAACAAACCCTGTACCAAACCCTCTGGCCAGCGTGGTATAGTAGGCGAAAACATCCTTTATAAGGAGAGGCTTATTCATGTCCAGCAGTGGACTGTTATAACCTGTTGATGACACATTCAATTATTTGACTAAAATTCATTTGATTCTTGTATTATTAATTTTATTAGCACGAAACTAATATTAATATATTTGCCAGATTTAGTCATAAGTATACGACCCTGAGCTGCTCCAGCTGTTGCTGGAACTGCACAATCTAGCTGTATGAGCAATATCCCGTTTCCTACCATAGCATTTCGTTTTTATCAAACTGGCCTGTTGGTCTAGTAACCAGAACGTGGGTTCAATTCCCGTCCAGAACAACTAATTGTGTGATGAGCACTATCAGTCGTTCTGTATCTGGATGTAATTTATCTATAATATATTTGTTTTTATTTATAATTTGACAGCCCGAATAGCGTAGTGGTTGAAGCGGTCAACATTGTTGTTCCGAGTCTGGTGTTCTTTGTGTCCGTTCGATGGATGTTTATGTAGCCACCCACGATAAGGATTAGGTTCCTAGTGAAGGAGTTGACTTTAAAAAATGTATTTGGTAATATTTAAGTATGTTTATCAGCAGTCTGGGTACCATAGTACAGGTTCTGCCTAGTTTAGTATTAGACGGCCGTCTGTGAGATGTGCCAAATAATTATTATCAACATGTACGATATACTCCATTTTTCAATTTTTAATTCTCAAAGTACTTGGTTAAAGGAAACAGATTTATCCCCTATGAGTGGGACCAAATTATAGTTATCAAAAAGTGTGGATACGTCACGCATCTCTCTTCCTCTGCGAGGTCTTAATGTGTGAATTCGTGTATGAGGAGATGGCATTTTATTTTACTTAATTTATTATTATTTATTAAATACTTTATGCACAAAAAAAATGTACAAAGGTGGACTTGGCATTCTCTGCCAGTCCACCTTGGGGTGGTGTAAGGTGAGTGATTAGATGTACTAAACTCAATAACAAGACTTAACTAAGAAATATATACACAAAAGGTTATGTGAAAAAAAATGCGGGTAGAAAAAGTGATGAATATCATTAAAACTTACAAACATACATACATATACCTACACATATATACATTCGTACAAACACATACATACATATGTACATACATTTACAGAATTCGTAAAATATATTAGGTATTAATCCAATGATGATGTAGCATCTTTGGGTGTGAGGAGAGCTCTCACTTTGGCCTTAAACGAATGACGACTAGGAGCCATTCTGATTTCCTGGGGAAGAGCGTTCCAGAGGAGGACAGATTGAATGACGGAGGAAGAATGAATACATGCGGAAGTATGAGAATATGAGAGATATAATTGAATTTTTAACCGACTCCAAAAAGGAGAATGTTTCCAGTTCGTCACTCTCACAATTAAGACGAACCTAACGACACCTCAAATGCCAAAATCCACCAAGCCGGTTAGGCAGCAGAGCGCCGTCTCCTTCTGCGAGCAAGTTATGCTCGCGAAGGAGACGGCGGAGCGGGACCGGGAGAGGTTTAGAACTCTCCCGGCCCGCCAGGCCCGGGCACGGGCCAGGCACCGCAGGCGACTTAGGCGCCGGAGGTCGCAGAACGACCTCCGTCCTCCATAAGCGCAGGCCTGGGGGTGACAGGTGAGGCCATCTGTCACCCCGGCGGTTTTAGTCGGTTCGAGTCCGACATGCCACCGACAGGTGGTATCCGAGGGGATTTCCGCACGAAAAAAAAAAAAAAAAAAAAAAAAAAGGCAGCAGAGCGTGCCAATAAATTTACATTCCTACACTCATACACGTTCTGGCGCAGTCGAGTAATAATAACAATGATAATATTAAATAAGCTGGATCAAGGGTTCTCCAGAAGGCAGTTCTCCTCGATACAGCACGTATTGTAAGGAAGTTTCTGTCTTTGGGAGTCTTAACCACCGGTGTCTTGCTCCCTGTATACGATACCGATGGGACACTATTTTTTAAATATTTTTTTTGTTTTTGTATATAAATATCTTTAAAAATGTAATTTATATGTATATTTAATGAAATAAAGAGAATAATGATAATATTAATGCTCACATTAGACGGCTGGATCAAGGGTTTGAAGCAGAAGGCAGTTCTCCTTGATACGGCCCGTATAGTGAGGAGGTTCCTGTCTTTGGGAGTCTTAACGGTTCCTGTCTTTGGGAGTCTTAACCACCGGTGTCTTGCTCCCTGTACCCGATGTCGGTGGTCTACTTTTTTTTATAATATATTTTTAAATGTATTTTTTTTCTTTTGTAATATATTTAGTATGTATGTCCCCGCGTGTATCCCCTTTCTCAAGAATCAAACTATCTTCATACTAAAGTTCATCTGAATCGGTTCAGCCGTTATTGATTCCCCATACAAAACTAAAAATCGATTATCTATACAAATAAATAAAATTAGAGTGTCTGTTTGTAATATTAAAATAACCGCTTTCTACTAAATGCAAATATATGTATACACGGTACATATGCCAAAATATCATTTTTTACCATTTTTATCTGTCTGTCTGTCTGTTTGTTCGGGTAATCTCTGGAACGGTTGGACCGATTTCGACGGGACTTTCACTGGCAGATAGCTGATGACATAAGGAGTAACATAGGGTACTTTTTTTTAGACTAGCTTCACCCCGCAGCGTTGCCCGCGGTTATAACAACAAACGCGTGTAACACCGCGGGTCTCAGCTAGTCAATAATATCTGTGACTCATAGTAATTGTTAGTATTACGAAAATTACATAATTACGATAAGATGGAGCCGACAGCATCGAGTCATATATGGACAGTCCATTCTTTCGTCTATCATGACTAGGACCCTATTGGAGCTGCTCCTTACCTGCGACAGGAATAATGCTGCTTTTCAATAAGAAAAGGAGAATTACTTCACGGATGTATTTAGGAGGTACTTGACTAGGCTCGCACCAGCCCAGGAATCCGTTTTCAAGAGGTGAAGCCACCTTCTTTTTGTTCCTAGATAAAGGCCTTCTTATATCACGAAGAACAAATATTTATTACTATTGCGCTATTGTAGTACTAGCTGACCCGCGCAACTTCGTCTGCGTCTCTCAATAGTAATAAATTTTCTCCGTTTTTGAAACATTCTTCATTGGTGCTCCGCTCCTATTGCTCTTAGCGTGATTATATATAACCTATAGCCTTCCTCGATAAATGGGCTATCTAACACTGAAAGAATTTTTCAAATCGGACCAGTAGTTCCTGAGATTAGCGCGTTCAAACAAACAAACAAACAAACTCTTCAGCTTTATAATATTAGTATAGATTATGAAAATTGAATATATGTTCAGTTCAAGGTAAAAATTGATGGAATTCGATCAAAACGTCAAATGATATTTATTTCTGTAAGTAAATCTTTTCAGATATTTTTACAAGTCGAACTTTACAGCTAAATGGAGGCGGCATTTACTAAGACTCACTCTGGGAAGAAACGTCGAAACAAACCCACAGAGGTGTCCTTTTTTTCTGTCTGTTAACAAAGTTCAAGACAACTGCGAGCACAGTGCAGGGAAAACTCCAAGATTTTGCGTTTTCTAAAATAGCCGATCCGTGTGGTGACGGATTAAGAATACGGAGTGTCACCACCCCAATTCATCTCGTGGGTGTCGTAAGAGCCGACTAAGGGAGTGAACTACACAATACAACAGCACCACATCCATACTAATATTTTAATGAGAAAATTGGTCTGTCTGTCTGTTACTCTTCACGCTAAAAACAGCTGAACCTATTGAGATGAAATTTGGTACAGAGATCGTCCGCGTCCTGGGAAAGGACATAGGGTAGTCTTTATCCCAGGAAACATCAATTAAAGGGTTGAAAAGGGGGTGGAAGTTTGTAGTGTGTTTAAAGAATTCGAGTAAGGATGATCAAGATAGATGACACCAGTGAATTCGGTCAATTGAATAACCGCGCATGACCTCATTGGTGCACCTATATCTACCTCCTTTTTTAATTTGTGTCATACAAAGCTCCCTTTTACATATTTCCGTCTCTTTTCACAAATATACTCCAACAGATTGTAGACAAGCGGGAGGAAAGATGTAATATATTAAAAACATCCAACCGAAACCAAACTCTAGATAACTTTCTAAAAGATCGTAATTCGTACAACAGCCCGTAGTACCGTAACGCGTACATAGTTTTTTTTTTTAATTACTGACGTTTAAAATCATTGGCATCGGAATATTTTAATTCGGAATTCGAATTATTGAGTGGCCATTTTAAGCAATGATTTTATACTTATATTTTTTTTAATTTCTTTTTCTTTTATCAAAAATTGCGATCGCAGTGGCCAGTAGTAGTATATGCAACAAAATGAAAGATTTTATAAAATAGTAAAAGAAGAAAGTAACGTATAAAATTAACTTTTATTTTTCGACTAAAACATCTTCAACTATACTTAAATTTCGGTAAGATAATCTCTCTGCTGTGTTTGAAGTATATGATAATTATAGAGATATTCTCGTACCTAAAGTATGGGTCCGGTATGGGATGGTACATGGGCGGCGGCGGCGGCGGCGCATACTCATGGTATTGCAGGTGCGGCGGGTGCGACGGATGATGCGGCGAGAGATGATGGTACTCCCGGTACTCGCCCTCGCCGCCGAGCGAGCCCAGCGCCACAGGCATGTAGGCCACTTTGTCACCGATCCATTGCGCACATTATAACTTTTAAGAACACACTTTAAAACTTAATCTTTGGTTTTAGTTCGCACCGACTTAAAAAAAAATATTTTTCACTTTTAATAAATACTTATATTTAAAATACACTAAACTTTGGTCACTTTGGTTGTAAAATACTTATTAATCCACTTATTCACGTTAAAATATTTTAACTGTAAAAGAAAAAAGCCGGTAAGAATTTACTACGCGGCGCGCATCACGGTGTTCGACTGATAAAGCATTTCGAATTTTTCGCGCGGGAAGTGTCATAGTACCATGAAACGTCCTAAATCCTTTATATACTTAGACGTGCTTAGCCAGTATAGTCATAACTACATGGGAATAGAGGCGATAAGCGCCGACGGGTCGAACCATGGTAGGAAGTGCGGCAACGTCGCGTCAGCTGGCCGTGCTAGTACCGAGACGCGTTCGAAAAGGTCAACATCGGTTACTATTTTTTTTTCATCCCCACCGGCTATTTTCGTTGGCTTTGTTTGTTTTTTTATCATTGATATATTGATTTATTATCGGTTGGAATGTGGATTGGAAATTTTAGTTTAAAACTTTACATCGAGTTCCGGATACAGCATTTACAAATATCGATTGGTACCTGTATCCCTAACAATGTGTATGTAGTTTTACAATAATAAAGTGCGTACAGCTGAGATACCGATAGCGTCGTTGATAACACCCACAAATGTAATTATAATACGAAAACTTACTAATTACCGTAACAAATCATAAATCGATGTAAATCTATTAACAAAATTAATTTATTCAATAAAAATTAAATAATAAAGACTATTGTTTTCACCGCGGCAAGGCCTCGGAACGCACGCGACGTTGCCGTTCATAGCGTTCGCGCCATACTTTTTACTGTTTCTTAGTACATAGAAACGCTCATTACGCTGGCACGCACACAGACAGCGCTTATATTGTTGTACACGCAGTACATAGTGCAAGATGGTATATAATGTACATTCCGCGACGGTAGATATGTAGGTAAACTACGTCGCTGTACAAATCAAACACTCGCGTCTATAAATAAAATGCAGACGTGTCCATGAAACGCGCGCATCTTCGATTGTTTGTGAAAATGATGAAATTCGGAAATGGCGCGGGGAACGTCATATTATGTGACGCGTCATGTGTGCTATTTTTTTTTATTATCTATGTTGTGTACGTATGTTAGAAGCTTAGAGAAAAATTAAGAAAATTGTATTATGACATTTTTTACGTTTAGCGTTTGATTTTTTATTTTAGCGTTTATCTTGTCTTGATAGTTCTTTTTTTTTCAATAAAACGTAGGTACAATTTTATTGGTCCTAATTTTAGAATTTCGAATGGTCTATTCTATAGACAATCACATATTATGTTTATTTTTAAATATCGAATTGAAACGCAATTTAAATAAATAGGAAGAGTGTTCTATTCTAAATTCAAACAGTTTAAAAACAATACCAGAAGTACCGTCACGCGAGGTCGTCTAAACAATTACCTAGCACACATTGTAAAGATACAAAACCACAATTCACACAAATTGCGAAGCCAAGGATGTCGCCTTGACAAGTTATCTAGATACACTGATAAGAACACCAAACAAAGCTCGGCTTGCACCAAAAAGAAACAATGATAACGAACAAATTAGGCTACAGTAAAAAACGCTCGCAAGAAACTATGACTGTGATGTGCAGTTCCGTCACATCAAATGTGTGTCATGTCGAGTCATTGACTTCAGTACCGAGCACATAAACTAATCCACGTGTATTGAAGAAAACCGAGGTGAAATGGTGGAAATCCGAGAGCGTTCCGCGCCCTTATCGACTCACAACACTGCGTGCTCTCAACACTAGTGAAAATACTGTATAAACATATGAATAATATGTAAAAATTGTGTGATATTTGAGCGTTTTGAATGCACGGCTAGTTACCGGCGCGGCGGCACTGCACCTATGTACTTTACATAGGAGAAGTGTGCTGACGGCTGACGAACTGTCAACGTTCGGGTGTTTCCGGCGGTCGGTCGGGCGCGCTCGGAGCTTGTCGGCGCGCGGCAAGTTCGGATACACGATTAGATTATGTCAGAATGATTAATACAAACCGGTTGTAGTTGGGTCAATCACATCGATTTGGACACAATTATTCATCTAGTTTTGTTGAGTGGTCATTCGCGAGCTAAGGTCGACTGATAGCGTACATTTATTTAGATATGAAGTCGGTGCAAATACTGTTGGTATTTACTACCAACGGATATTTTTGACACGGATATTTTCTTGTCTATTCTTCTCTATAGAATTTAGCTAGATTTTTACCGTTGGAGAGTCATGCTTCAGCACAGATGGGCCGGCTCGATCGGAGTGTTACCACGGCCTCACAGGAAATCTTTCAGAATTACCCCTCCACCCCTCCCCCTCTCCGTACAGCAACAACGTAGCAGGTAGGGCAATACCTTCTATGACAGTTGTGAGATCGAAAATTGATCGGAACTGACTTGTGGTCGAATTTTTATTACGAGATTTGGCATTCTGAGTGTATGCCACCGAAGAAAATGGATGAGAGACACCTACACGCAGTTAAATGAAATGCGAATTTTAATATGGATGTATGGTGTTACTGAGATGGTCCAGGAGCGGAATACATTAGAGGAAGCCTGAAAGTAGCGCCAGTGGTTGAAAAGTTGGAGAGCAACAGGTTATTCAGGTATAGGTGTTATACAGTTGATATCTTCTACATGTTTTACCAGTTATGGCGTACGAAATCTTGCAAGACTTTAATTATAATTAAAGAGGAAATAACCATTTTTGTCTACCGCAACTATGTTAAAAAATCTATTAATTCATTAAAACTGACAAGATAATAATAAAAGCATTATGCATTATTCAAGCAATTAATAAATATCAGAATTCTATAGCAAATTACCATTTATAATTACAATTCATAACATCAAGATACCAAGTTAATGGATATCAGAGTAAAGAGAGGAGCAAAGGAAATATGGATGGGCTGCGTGAAAGTAGTGCTGACTGCATGGATGGCGTAGTGGTCCAAGCGGTCGCCACGCCGCTTCCTACTACGCTGAGTGTTGTGGGTTTTATCCCCACATGGGATGACACCACAAATTGCCGTTCTGAGTCTGGGTGTCCTTTGTGTCCGTTTCATGTAAGTTTGTAAAGTCCCCCGCAACACAGGATATATTCCTTAAGCGGGAGTTGTTAAAAAAGAAAAAAGAATAGAATCTGTCAATTTTCAAATAAAATAAAGATTTTGTCGTTTTTTATAAAAATAGTTGTATTTTTATTACTTCTAAATTGTTTTTGACCGTAGGTACTTTCCCACGACTTTGTTTATTTTTTATTAGTGGTCCTAATATACTACTCAAAAATAATTTTGCTATAGGGGAATTCGGGACTGCGGTCCCGGTGCCGAAAGCCTCAAGACCCATTGATCTTTGATTATAAGTAAATCATTTCAGATATTTTTAGAAGTCGGTTTTTGTAAGCCAGAGGTCGTTAGTTCGATTCCCATCCAAGACAAATTATTGTGTGATGAGCACATTTTTGTTCTGTGACTGGGTGTAATTTATCCATAATATAATACGTTTAGTAATATACAGTATAATAATAATTCGACTGCACGGATGGCGTAGTGGTTTAAGCGGTCGCCACGCCGCTTCCTACTACGCTTAGTGTTGAGGGTTTTATCCCCACATGGGACGACACTTTGTGTGATCCACAAATTGTTGTTCTGAGTCTGGGTGTTCTTTGTGTCCGTTTCATGTATGTTTGTAAAGTCCCCCGCTACACAGGATATATTCCCAATGCGGTAGTTGTCTTTTTTAAATACTATATAAGTATGTTTATCAGCAGTCTGCTTACCACAGCACAGGGTCTACCTAGTTTGGGATCAGACGGCCGTGTGTGAGATGTGTCAATTTACTATTAACATAAACGATTTCATAGATTTAGAAACGAACGACCCCTAGTCGGCAGAATATACCACAGCAACGCCACGTAGCTGGACAAACGGTGGTGGTATGTGTTTAATTAGAATGTTTCAGCTCTCAAAGCTGTCGACAGAGTTAACTGAGGCGGGTCGCCTTTCACTGCCTTTCACTCAATTGTCTAGCGCGTTGATGCTTCAATACATTTTTGTACATACTGCATTAACTTTAAATGTAGACGGTTTAAGAATACGGAGTGTCATCACCCCTCTTCATCCCGTGGGTGTCGTAAGAGCCGACTAAGGGAACAAACAGGAAAACTGCACTGCAAAGAGAAGGAACACTTAAAACAAAGCCTATACCAACTCGTCTGGCCAGTGTGGTATAGTAGGCTAAACCTCCTTTCTAAGGAGAGGCCTATGTCCAGCAGTGGACTATTAAAGGCTGTTGATGTGATGTGTGATAATAATTCATACATGTGTGTTGACGGATTAAGAATACGGAGTGTCACCACCCCTATTCATCCCGTGGGTGTCGTAAGAGCCGACTAAGGGAAAAAAACTACGCAGGACACCAGCACTGCAGAGAGAAGGAAAACTTGACACAAACCCTATACCAACCCGTCTGGCCTGCGTGGTATAGTAGGCCAAAACCTTCTTTCTAAGGAGAGGTCTATGTCCAGCAGTGGACTATTAAAGGCTGTTGATGATGATGAATTCATACATGCACTAAGGAGTATGCAGAGACCTATGAAAAGCCTACATTTTGTTGACTATAATTTTAGTTCCCACTTATGTTAAAAGCAAGCCTATTTATTATTAGACTTAAGGAATGCGATCTGAAAATTGGTTGTATATTCAAAAGAAATCCGTGTGGTGACGGATTAAGAATACAGAATGTTACCACCCTTATTCATCCCGTGGGTGTCATAAGAGCCGCCTGAGGGAGCAAAACTACGCAGGACAACAGCACTGCAAAGAGAAGGCGACGACCGCCGGCCGACCGAAGGCGTAGTGGTTTGTGTAAC